TCCAGACAGCGATGTTCCATCTGCTGAGCTGATCGACGAACTCGACGACGATGACGACGAATGGAACTCTGACCAAGAGCCTGTAAGACCAGAGTAAGTGATCTTGACATGAATATTCTTATGATACTTACATATCTTATCTAGCCAACGTCCTCGTGGAGGAATCAAGGCTCCAGTGTCCAATGGCGGTCCTAGAGGCGGTGGGACAAAGCGATAAGTTCCAAGAAGGAACAGAAGGTGTCGTTCCGAGGAAATACGGTGCTATGTCTATTACGAACGTTATATGCTACTCTATATGAATTCCCGACAAAGGATCCTCTTTAATAACTGTTTTATGGACCCTCTTATGTTTACATTTCCGATGCTAGGCTACAGTTTACTTGAATTTAATAATGCAGCCGTCTTACTGTCCAACCCATAGACCAGAGCACCATTTGCACCTCAATGACCTCACTTATCAGTCAGTCTTCGCCGATGTACACGGAGGTTGGACGAACATTCTTTGTGATATTGCGCAATGCGCATGGAAGAACGACGAAGGGCTCTCGAATGGATCATGGGGCGTCGGGGATAGAGCTAGCAAACCTCTTATTTATAGACGATGCGAGCTAGCACCAGAACAAACATTACAGACACAGAAACAGATAATCATAGAAGTTTGTACATCGAAAGTTATCGACAGTAAAAAAATTTGTATATACATTTTTTGAGAGCATCAACTTGAATGAAATAAAGACATCGCAACGGCAAGAGAAAAAAAGTACAACCATAAGAGCAAGCAAGTATTTACACACAACAAAATTGAAACCGGTTCAAAAAGAAAAAACTAATAAAGCCACTACGAGGATGGCTGAACAGCGTATCCGTTCGCTCTCGAAGTAGACGTGTGCTATAGACAAAGAAAGTAAGTGAAGATGACGAGTGAAAAACTAACAACATACACTCACCCCATTATGTGCTACCCATCCGTGCGTAGGCGGCATTGGATGCCCTCCATGAATAGCATACGCGCCATTGACGGGGCGTGATGAATATGGGACGGAGGGTGTTGCTGAGAGGTTGGTTGCGGTTGATGGCCTGGTGGAGGAGGGGGTGGAAGGGAATACTGTGGATGGCCGTGATAGGCAGCAGGGCCCAGAGCCACATACCCGCCAGGCATGGGATGAGCGTGTCCATTAGATTGAACTAGCCTTTCTTCGGTTATGTACATATCCGGCGCGCCCTGTTGTCCTCCATGTGCATGCGCCTGCACTGCAACCGCTGCAAGTAATGAGCTCGCATGTTCCATTGCTGCTGCTGCCATTTCACAGTTGCCCGTTAGGAACACCAGACGCTGCTGTTCTAGTTACACGAGGAGGTGGAGGAGGCGGGCTCAGAAGCCCATTGGAATGAGCGTGGGAGGTGTTGTCAGATGAAGGAGCCATGCCCTCGGTAGGTTGGTAGAACGGATAGAATAAGCTCTGGGGCACTTCAACCATGTGCATAGGAATGGAGGAAGCGGGCATTGCGGCGGTGGTTCGTATGGGAGTAACGGGAGCTGAGCCATTAGTAGTGGAGGAAATAGGAACAGCATTCTTTGATGGAGGTACTTCATTGCTTCCATTAGCTGGTTGAGGCCCAAATACTGGTGGACCAAAAGCAGGGTACTGCGCGTGGGGATACGAGATTCCTCCAGCATTCGTTACGGAAGCTGGAGGAGGAGGGTAAGTGTATGTCGAAGAACTAACAGTGGATGAACGTGAACTGGCGGTAGATGAGCGTGGGTACGACGTTGGTGGGTACGCTGGCTGTAACGTCGGTGTACTTTGCTGACTGCTGGGACTCCCGGTGTCATCCACCCATGATGGCCCATTTGTCGCGATTGGTGTGGTAGAAGTAGGTTTCTCCCTGTTCGGACTCGTAGATTCTTCCTCCCATTCAGGCTCTGGTATCAAAACTGGTTGTCCAACTGGTCCTTGGCGACCAATTCCTGAAATCAATCGACTTTCCCTGATCTCGCCGCGCTCAGCACGCTTGTCGGATTCATCTGGTGCACCGACCCCGCGTAGTCCTGCTTCAGAGTATGAAGACTCCATAACGATTTCAGCTAGTTTGGCGATGAGCGGGTTCGTTCCTGCACTAGCTCCACTCCCAGTCTCCCAACGCCAGCGGAACCTCGGAAGCATGTCCAGAGCCAGCCAAACGTCTTCCATCAATATCCTTACTGCGTTACCAGCTCCGTCCTGCTCACCTCCTTCCCCGTCCGATAGTCCGGGTATTTCCTTGTCGCACCTGCTCATCTTGCCGTATAAGATGACCATAGCAGCAATATGCAGTGGTGCAGGGCTAGTGAAAACCCTACCTCGGGAAAGCGCACTAGAACAGTATGTATCGCAATCACATTATGGGCCTGAATCATCGCATCGACCAAAGCCTTCCTTCGCTCCGGATATCCCAACTCTTTCGAGCTAAATAGCGCACGGAGAAGAAGAATCCGTGAGATAGCGAGCTTGAGAAGTGTCAAACCCGCGGATTCGCTCAGAGTCGAGAGCAGATCATGACGTCGACTAAGTGACCAGTGGGCGGTACCCGTGAAGTAGTTCTTGTACGATGCTGGGAGCGAGCGACGGAAGTTCTTTATGGATTCGATGATGCGACTGGCGTTGCGAAGGAGAGTCTCGCCGGATTGTCTTGTGGGACTGTAGAGCGACATGATGATGTCGGCTTGGATATCTGCGATGGGTGCTGAAACTAAAAAGTGTTCGGACATATCGAGGTCGCTCATGGTGGGCGGTTTAACGTTTGAGCGGGAGGGACAGTGAAGGCAGGATCACCTATTCGGGGTCGCGAAGGTCGAGGTGTGTTGGCATCCCTGGGAGAGATAGCCAGAGGTCTGCCCAGTAGGATACTCGTTCCTCGGTCGTGCACGAGGACAATGGACCAAAGCCGAATGCGAAGAATAGATTCCAGCGGGGTAAAGGTGGGGATTTCCTTCTTGTCAGACTCTTCGGAAGGATTAGGATCGGGCATCGTCTGCGTAGTTGGGTCGTGATGCAAACCAAGCTCGATAGCGAGACGCACGATGGAACCTACGAGGCGCCATAGTGTGCGGCCTTGACGCTGTAAAAAGGGATTAGAATAAAGAAATCAAATCAGGAACTTGAGCTCACCTCGGCATAAAGGTACCACTGAAGTAAAATCAATGCTTGAAGACTGCTCAGCGTTACTCGAAGTTCAGGCTTTACTGCCAATGCACGATCAAAGAATTCGTCATGGGCAGGCCAATCAGGCGGAAGACGTGAGTTGCTTGCAGTAGTAGCCTTGGCAGCCATTCTTCCTTTGGACCGTAAGCGCGGAGAGGCAGAATCCTGCTCCTCCTTGGATCCTTCGTCATCCATACTAACGTCACCATCGGCCGCAGGAACTTCTCCCGGATATCCACTTCTGTTCAGCTCGCTCAGCGTTCCGAGTGCAAGCACGAGATAGAGGGAGCATATAAAGCCTGGATCAAAGACGGGCCTTGATGAAGCTCCTTCGTCATACAATTGGTTCAATGCCTGAAGAAACTGATGTCGAAAAAACACGGGGCGATGAACGTTAAGACGAGAAAAGTAGACATCGACAATGTCAAGGAGGGTGTTGCGGTCAGTGGGTAACCAGATGTCCATGGATGAAGACGCCGAAAAGGGCTGAGAGCGAAAGACAGAAACGACGGTCCACTTTGCAGTGTCCCTAGAAATATTCGTCAGTACTGGGATCAAGTCTGAAGAGGGTAGCTGACCTGGGAGCAGGCATTTCAAGCTGAACGACACGATCACGACCAGAATCCAACCCAGAAGAGCCTACAGCGAGATCTTCTTCCGCAAGATGTGCAGGAGCAGCAGACGGAGGATTATCACTGTTACTGTTGTTTACTGTCGGAGGAGCATAATAGACAGGAGCTGGGGATGCTGATGCATCATTGACAATAAAGGGAGCCACACCAAACGACTTGGCAAGAGCATGGGTCGAGGACATGTCGTTTGCATTTGGATCCTGGCCGGGAATCATAACAGCAGCTGGGGAAGAGGGAATGGGTGGAACCTGGAATGGAGCTGGATACATGTATTGATACTGGTAGTATGTGACGCCAGGAGGAGGAGGAGGAGGAGGAGGATATGCTGGTTGGGGAGGCGCTACGCTAGATGTCTGAAGAGGGATATTCTGAATAGGCTGAAGCGTAGAAAGATCTATTCCCTCTCTAGCGCAGAGATCATCAATAGTCTGAAGACTAAAACCTGGCAAGTGACGCTTGAGAAGGGCATCGCACTGAGCGACAATCTGCTCGAGCCTTTCAGTATGGTCTCTGGCAATGGTAGTTTGCCTATGGCGGTCTTCCTGGTTGCAAGCGACGCCAGCAGTGACACACGCGGTGCATCTTGGATGTTTGGAATCGCACTGTCGGATAAAGGTTGAGTAAGTATAAGCGATATGGTTCGGGCATTGCCGACGACGGATGCGCCCGTTATTTCTTCGCAAATTCCCGAATAATTTGTTCGAAATAATAAACTCACCTTGATCTTCTTTCCTCTGCATCTTGTGCAAGCCTCGTGCGATCTTCTGAGCCTTCGCGGCTCACTGGGCTCTCCGTCATTCTTTCTCCTCCGTTTGACCGGCGGGCCATTCGAAGCAGATGCATTCGTGTCGTCCATGGTCTGCATCACAAGGGCTCCGCTGTGGCCATCCATAAAAGACAGAATCAAGTTATCGATTAACCCGCCAGAGTTTGATTAGATTACCAATCACGTTGAGCTCAAGCGCTTTGGCACCATCTGCTTTCTATCGTCGACTCGGCTCAAAATCATCCACTAGTCCTTTCTCACTCTTGTCAAAGCTCAATGGTACCACCATCTCGCCGTTTACTACTCCTTATGTCCTCCATTCAATGTGGCCTTATCACTAATGGCAGTGCAATTGACATGTCATTGGTTGAACGAAGAAAATTTTCTTGAAAAAAAAAGTATATCAAGGGTCGCTGCCAATGGGGGTACCGCGGATCGAACGCGGGACCTTCAGAAATACTCGAGACTTCAGTCTGCTGCTCTCCCAGCTGAGCTATACCCCCATGAAAGTGGCGCTAAATACAGCAGCTATATCCGTGACTTTGGTGGAACCATCCAATGCTGCGCTTCATATTAATAGAGCGAGATCTTGAAAACCGTAGTTCCCATCTCGGCTCGATCTTATCATCCCTTTTCTTCCACTTTCATCACCAGACCGGTGCTAGTGCTACATTATACAGAATGAGTTTCTGCGACGACTGCTTCAAAGGTCCGTTACAAGCCGAATCGATCGTACTGAAAAGACCAGTAACTTACCGCCAATCCCATTCGCAGGTGTCACTCACGAAGGTACCCCGAAAGGTACATAGTACTAGCAAGCATTTACTGTTACTTTACTGGGACCATCCATTCCATCGCGCTATCATTCAAGCTTCAAAAACTCACTTATTAACTCCCATACCATCTCTCTAGGCACTTGGCAAGAGATCGGTGGGATCAACTGTTATGTCGGTACTCCATCCGACGTTGAGTACCCCAAGGATAAAGCTCTTTTGTTTCTCTCCGACGTCTTTGGTATGCAGTTGGTTAATAATCAGGTATGTATACGTAGATGATTGAGATTACGCGTACTATTTACTTTGGATATGAATGAACTTAGCTGCTCATAGACGATTTCGCAGCCAATGGAATCTTGGTAGGTCTCATTCTGTCAACTCTCATTCTGTCAACTCATCCCTCTCCTCGGATGCATTACTCGCTCTAAAATCGGTTCTCGATCCGTAGACATTCGGTGTGGACTACCTCTTCGGAGACGGCATTCCAGCGGATGCAATGGGACCTGATGTATGTACTTTCCCTTCTAATCATAGCGAAAACAGGAATTCGAATGAATCACACTCCCCAGAGCACCTTTGACAGAGATGCATGGAGAGAACGACATGGATATGATCGCACCCGTGCTGCTGTTGACGCCGTCATCGCAGCTTTGAAAGAAAAGGGTATCACAACTTTCGCTGCGAACGGGTATTGCTTTGGAGGTGAGCGTTACCCCACGGCTTTCATACTTCATCTTCATCTTCAATGGATGTGGGTGCCTAGGAGCGCTCAGACTGGCGTTGGTGTTGTTGGCAGTCACCAGGTGACTGTAGCTGGACGCTGGACGATACTTGACCGTTTCCGAAACTTTAGTGTCCTCAGTTTTCAAGTTCGCTTCCAAGTTTACTGACTGAAAGAAAATTCTCCTTGAAGCTCCGTATGCTGTCGCATTGGCTATCGAAAACGGCATCCAAGCTACGATCGTAACTCACCCTTCTCGACTAAAAGTTCCGGAAGATTTGGAGGTATGTATTAATATTTCAACCGTTAACTTCTATTCTAGATAGCACATGCGTGCGTGGCTTATCTGATGCTCATCTTCTGCTCGCATAGAAATACTTCTCGGTCTCTAAAGCACCCTTCCTCATCAACTCTTGCGAAGTCGACGCTGCGTTCCCCATTGAAGCACAAGCAAAAGCCGACGAAATTTTCGGAGATGGAAAGTTCGCTCCGGGATACAAACGAGAGTACTTTGCGGGCTGTAAGCATGGATTTGCGGTTCGTGGGGATATGAGCGATCCAAATGTCAAGGCGGGGAAAGAGGGCGCGTTCAAGTCGACGGTTGATTGGGTAAAGAAGTATTTGTGAACGCAACGAATTCAAAGAACGGAAGGAATACTGTATATATATATGTACTATATGTTTAAGATATGGCCATGCAGAAACGCTTGTACAATTTATATGACCACTACATGCCAGAGAATTATCTTTGATCTGCTCTTTGTTCTTGTCCTTGACTTGAATTTCTGCAATCTAAATAGCACTTTTGAATCTCAACTTGATCAAGTCGCATTCAAGAAGTTATCAGCATAAAAAGACTAAAAGTACGGTATCATTTCTCTCTCTCTCTCTCCTGAGTCTTTTTGCGACCCAGAAGAAACCTTTGCAGAGAGAGAATCCGCTATAACCCCCAAAGCTCCCGCAGGGGAGAGACGTTAATTCATTCATCCATCGTCGCGTCGCGTCGCTGCTGTGCTGAGAGAGAGAGTGTGTGTGTACGATGCAGAACAAGGAGTAATTCAAGCGTCAAGCCCTCGAATGATGAATCGAGTCGAATCAAACGGCTAGCTCACTTTTGACAAGCTGAACGCTCGTAAACCACGATGGCGTGTATTGCGGTAAGGATTATCTAGTATCTTCCAGCTGAGCTATACCCATGACAGTTATAACCTTGACCCTGATGGAGGTGGACGACTTGACATTCAGCTATAGGTCAATAGGTCAAAGTTCAAAGTGACGCGGATCGTATCCGATCGCTTTTGGCATAAGCATGTTTACATGTTACGGATGGGGCCCGAGTTTCAGTGAGTGGAATTTATGTACTCATATAAAACCGTTTTGAGAATACTGCACATATTACTTACCTCCCTTATCATCTCTTTACACCCCATCACCAGTGGAGAATGAGTTTCTGCGACGACTGCTTCAAAGGTTCGTTACAAGCCGAGGAGAGACCAACTCACCGTTTGACATTCCATTCGCAGGTGTCACTCATGAAGGTACCCCGAAAGGTACATACACTCTGCATACATTCACTTCACTGGAACCATCCATACATCCCGTTATCATTCAAGCTTCAAAACCTGGCACATGTCAACTCTATTACCCTTTCTCTAGGCACTTGGCAAGAGATCGGTGGGATCAACTGTTACGTTGGTACTCCGTCCGACGTTGAGTACCCCAAGGATAAAGCTCTTTTGTTTCTGCCCGACGTATTTGGTGTGCAGCTGATCAATAACCAGGTAAGATTTACTATCTAAATTACGCGTACTATCGCTGAACATCTTTACTTACTATTAACTTAGCTGCTCATAGATGATTTCGCAGCCAATGGAATCTTGGTAGGTCTAACCCATTTCCTATAATCCCTCTCCTCGGATGCGTTACTCACAGTTGGGTTATTCCTGTGTAGACATTCGGAGTGGACTATCTCTTTGGGGACTCCATTCCAGGGGATGCACTAGGACCTGATGTATGTACTATTAATTACCGCGAACGGGACTTGAATGATGCTAACATACTACTATGTCCATCCATCTATTCAACTCCTCAGAGTACTTTTGATACAGCTGCATGGGTAGAACGACACGGATACGATCGTACCCGTCCTGCTGTTGACGCTGTCATTACAGCCTTGAAAGAAAAAGGTATTACGAGTCTCGCTGCGACGGGGTACTGCTTTGGAGGTGAGCGTCATAGCCACTGGTTTTTATGTTCATCTACATCTCCATCCTGTGCGGGTGCGTAGGGCGTCGAGACTCGTGTTCTTTTTAGCTTCCGATCTTGAATTCCCTTTTAAGTTTACTGATTAAAAGCTACACTTTAAAGCTGTGTATGCTGTCCCATTGGCTATCGAAAATGTTATCCAGGCTACAATCGTATCTCACCCGTCTCGACTGAAAGTTCCGGAAGATTTGGAGGTATGCGTTTCCACCATTCTTGTAAGCTCACTTTCTATACTTATTCTACCACATAGAAATACTTCTCGGTCTCTAAAGCACCCTTCCTCATCAACTCTTGTGAGGTAGATCCTCAGTTCCCTATTGAAGCACAGGCAAAAGCCGACGAGATTTTTGGAGATGGAAAGTTCGCTCCGGGATACAAGCGAGAGTACTTTGCGGGTTGTAGGCATGGATTTGCGGTTCGTGGAGATATGAGCGATCCAAATGTCAAGGCGGGGAAAGAGGGCGCGTTCAAGTCGACGGTTGACTGGGTAAAGAAATATTTGTGATTGAACAGTAGGGAGGGGAGAAGATCTGGAATTCGAAGGAAGGATGTGTACTTACCTATGTATGTTTCAAAGGATAGATGAATATCAAATCTTAAACGTTCCGCTACCACATTCAACAGCGTTCTTCACCGTCTACTAGACCCGGCTCAACAATGCCATTATGGAGAAATACAAAATCATCATTTCATTTCGTCTCTATCATTCCAATATAAGCTTACAACATGTTAAGAACCGAATTTACAAGCTACGTGTATCCAGTCACCAGTGAGTTTGGATACCTCGTAGTAGAGCGCCCAATAATTATCAGACATAAATACACCTAGACTTGGAAGAAACGAGACCTTCGGGAGGGCAAGGTTGCGTTGGTAGCGTGCGTCACGTTGGATGCCGGGCTGAGCGACCGACGTTGCCTGAGCTGCTGACTGCAGAAGAAGCCGGGACAGCGCTGACTGCAGAAGAGGCCGGGGCAGCGCTGACCGCAGAGACGGGAGCAGCAGACACTGCAGCCGTAAGACTGGCAGCAGGCGCAGGCGACGATGCGGCAGGTACTAGTGTGGCCTCAGTGGTACAAGCACCGTTGTTAACCCAAATGCCAGCTGCGCCTGTGAGAGTTATGTTAGGATGTGAGACGGTCAATAGTTTAAAAGTTTACATACCTCCGGGTATCTCTACAAAGGAAAAAGGAGGCCTTTAGCAAAATACAATTGAAAAAAATGAGCAAGAATGTCTATACCATCGTCAGACCATTCAGTACTTGTCCATAGGTCGCCGCTAACAGTTTTACGAATCAGACCACAATTCGAGTTGACCGAGAGGCGATGCTTACTCGAATGTCACCTGCGAATCAGGCTCATAAGCTACACTATTAACCCAGGCGGAAATGCCTGCACAGTTTCCGTTGCTGGCGAGACTCGTCGTGCTGGAAGGAGTGGACGAAGTCGGAGTTGAGACAGTAGTCGTGTGTGAACTTGAAGAAACACTTGAGGTTGGCGCAGAAGACCCGCCATTCAGCGCATCCTTGACCGATATATCGAAGCGATCGTTTGCTGGTTTGGAGAGTGTGATAAGATGATACAGTTCCAGGTCTCAACGATAGTTTCACGTACCAACGGCTTGACTAATGTCCCACTAAATAACAAACATGTTCATCTCTGAGACTGAGAACAAAGACGGGTAGCATCCTCACCAGCATTACTCCACCGAATGAGGAGAATTCAGCCTTCGTGTCTTGGACAA